TTTTTTTTTTTTCCTTTTTTTTTTTTTTTTGTGACCGGCCACACCGTGCTCAACCAGTGAGCACACTGGCCATCCCTATATAGGATCTGAACCCGCGGCAGGAGCGCTGCTGCACTCCCAGCGCCGCACTCTCCCGAGTGTGCCACGGCCTTGGACCAGAAACTAGAGTTGTTAATTTGCAAGAAAAAAAAAATAGGCAATACAAAATGCAATGCCAAAATTTGGAAATAAGGCCAGATAAAAATTGTAAGCAGCAGCCTGGTCCTAGGCCTGGTCACTGTGCCCTCAGCTCTACTTCTGCCCTGCCCTTCAGCACTGGTAGTGATTTAGAGTTGGGGAGGCTCAATGCTCCTTCTGTTGTTGTTCAGTTCTCAAAAGAAGACTTTTTTTTTGCAAAGTACAAGATGCCTTCTGACTAGATTGCACCAAAGCAGTCAGTCAAAATGAATCAATCATGACCTTACATGAAATAACCAGTGAATCACAGTGCACAGCTACATGAAGACACTGTGAGTTAGTTGGGAAAAAGAAGAAATTCCCCTGCTACTGTTATGTGATGTGGCCATCATGCCATAGAGCTAGTGATCATATGGGTGAAAGTGGGGTACATCACCAGCTCCCCATCCTTTCATATATCTATCATCTCAACCTATGTTCTAGAAAGGTGCTCCTTGAACTTCCGTGGGCATCAGAATCCCCAGAGAGCTTATGAAACCACAGAATTCAGGCCCTGATTCCCAGAGTGTCTGAATCCATAGATCTGGGGCAAGGCCTGAGAATTGGTGTCTCTTAACAAGTTCCCAAGTGATGCTAGTGCTACTGGTCATGTGATCATACTTTGTGAGCTACTGCTGTAGTATCTGTCCTTTTTGGCCTGTCCTGTGTAGCTTTCAAGACATTGCAAAATACCAAACAGATGCTAAATAACTCATTCATCTGGGAGTGTGTTGAGCTTCTTTGAGGTTAAAACCTGGAGTCTTGAGAATGCACTTTATGTATGGGTTTCACAGCTCCAGAGAAGCATCACCTTCTTACTGGACTCCTGAAAATGTTGATTCTTTTCCTAACACCCCTTTTGCAAAGGGGACTGGGCTGGAAGCTGAAAGGCAGGGGAAGAGCATTACATGGGCTGTGACTGCTGAGGGCAGGCTTTAGTCAGGCTCAGTGCCACAGATGTCATGGCCATCTGTGCTGCTTGAGTTCCAACCTGGTGATGCCAGATGAGCCTAATCCCTGTTCTGTTGTGGTGATTCTGAACGTCAGGTTTCCATTGGATCCACAAGGGTGTGCCATAAAATACAGGAAGCCCATTCTTTAAACCAACCCAATTCCATCAGAGGAAGGAAAGAATGTTTAGAGTTCCATTGCAATGCAGCCCTGGACCAGTTGCATTGCTAAACAAGGAAAATCATCAGCCACAAAGGTTTGCATGTAAAGATAGCAAATCAAAGTGATTCCTGAGCAACAAAAAACAAACAAACAAACAAAAAATGCCACTTGGTTCTGGCACACTCTCGGGATATCAGAAATTATAGCCTACCCTGCCTCCCAGGGAAAAAGTTTGCAACAGATCTAAAGGTGAAAAGCTTACTTGTACTCTGAAGAGCTTGTTTTGCAGAATAAATTTTAGATGAGGATAATTAAACCACTTCTTGGAGAACCGAGTCTGATTTCACTGGGCCTTTTAGTATATAAGATCTTTCATCAAGTGACTTTCATGGTCCTGATTGGAGCCCACTAATTATCCTAACCAGCTATTTTCATCGAGTGTGCGTCGTGGTGTGCTGACGTGCACATACATCCCAGCTCTGCATCCCGAAATGCTGCAATCAATATTAATGTACTCTAAATCACACTTCCATCTGTTTCTGAATTAATAAAACACAAAATAGATGTCCTTATTTCCCTCTCTCTCTCTCTCTTTTAGCAAAATGCTTCAAAAGTCGCTCAGATACCATCTCCATGGGTAGGCAACGGAAAGTAAGTATTTTATGAAAATTGCTTTTTCATGAAAATAAGTGATTTAATAGACCCCAAATATATTGCATTGACAACTCAAGAGCGAAGGTCAATTCTGAGACTACAGTTATTTTTGTGCACAAAACATTCTAGCCAGGTTTCAGCTAATAGTGAGACAGAAAGATTTCAAATGATGTGGTTCCAAACTCTTTAACTATTTGATATTTAAGCCAAGTTACGTCCATGAAAATATCTGCTAATGAGATAGCAAGCACTGTGCCACTTCAGGGAGGCAGGGTAAAGTTAACTCCACTGCCATGATTTGTCAACAATTCACTCAGTAATGAAAGACCAATGAAATATTAATTGATATATGGTAAGCTGTTTAATAAAACCAAAGGTATAATTGTGCTGAAATGTAAAGGAGTTTGGTCAGCCAATTATCTGGGCCTTCATGATGATTTTTATGTTAATACTAAAATACCTTGACCTAAAATATAAAAGCATCTACTAAAATCTTGATCTGAAGCTCAATGAACTCCCTCATGCCCGTGGCCTTGTTTAGAGCTCTGTGTGCTTGGAGGAGCTCAGTGTTAACAGCAGTTGAGTGGGAGTCCAGAAACCATTGATCTGGTCCTAAGGCTGTCCTTAGCTCACAGGGTAAGCTACATGGGCCCCTCCTCTTTCTGGGTTTATTTCTCTCTCTCTAAAATGAAGGGGCTGGGCCTGATGCCTTCGGAGGCCCACTGAAGAGATGTTTCTTATAGAAGGTGACTTTGAATCCCAGTTCTGTCTCAACCACAAACTGGCTATGTGCCTCTGCTAACATGCCTGAGCATCAGTTTCTCTTCTGATTCCAAAACCTCCCTTACCACGCCAAGCCCATTTCCCACCAGTAGAAGGAAAGAAAATTAAATGACTGTGCACGTGTACTTTCTCAAAGAGCCTGTTTTATAATCCCAAGCTGCTTTTCAATTTTTCATCATTTCAAAATTCTTGCGTCTCTGATCAAAACACTTTCTTCAAGAGTAAAATAGTCTCCACTGCCACTTCATAAATATCTAAAAAAATATATTCCAAAAGCACTGGGACAATGAACTCTACTTTGAGATCATATAAACATTCAGAGTGAAGGAGCAGATCCATTAAAAACTGCACATTAACTCAATTACTGTATTGAAAGGAAGCACCGTTTAAATTGTTGAATTAGGTCTTACTCTTACATTGACGAACAAAGGAGAAAGAAAGCTTCTCTCTGGAAGTTCAGAAAATAAAAATAACCAGTGAAAGGCCTAGAGAAAACTATTTTCTCTGAGCGCAGAGTAAAGCAAGGACAAGGTCAGGTAAGCATCTATTAAAGGATCACTGGGAACAAAAAAAAATTTTTTTAATTCTGAAATGAAAGAACTCAAACACATCCTAAGCTTGTGAAGTTACATTAAAAGCCTCCTGAAATGATTTTTTAAGCAGCTTCTTTCGATGGAAAGCACACTCCCTTTAGTAGGCCATAGAGCTTTTGAAGAGGCAACTCAAAACGTTGGCCCAGGGGTTATTTACATCCAGTTCATTCAGCAAACACTTCTGGCACATCTGCTCTACACCAGGCTGGAGATACAGAGCTGAATTACATGTGGTCCCTGCACTCCAGAAGTACACAATGCAGTGGAGGGAGGCGACAGATACTAACAAAGTGCTGTGGGAGCCCAGGAGAAAGAGCTTGAGCTTCCCTGTGAATGAGGGGGGTGGGCCCCACAAAGGGCTTCCCACCTCATCTTACAGGAGCAGCACACCTGACTTCAAATCATCCTAGGCTGGCTAGACATTGGGAAGTCAGTTGCCCAGAGGTGGTTATGGCTGCCCTCCTTATGGATAAGGGTTCCACAGAAAAGTACATGAAGAGGCATGCAGAGGGTTGAGAACAAACCTTCAGGAATGAACCTCCATGGGGACAGAGAGAGCAAAGAAGGAGTTGGAAGGAGAAGAAAAGTTGGCTTGTTATAGAGCAGGGTTCAGCAGGCTTTCTCTATAAAGCGCCAGATGCTACTCACTTCTGGCTTTGCAAGCCAAGAGGCAAAACAAGGTTATGATATTGAAAATTATGAGAGAAAACAAATTTCCACAACATTCTTACTGATGAAATTCAAAATATAGCAACACACACTTTTTTTTTTTTTTTTAAAGATGACCAGTAAGGGGATCTTAACCCTTGACTTGGTGTTGTCAGCCCCACGCTCTCCCAAGTGAGCCAACCGGCCATCCCTATATAGGGATCCAAACCTGTGGCCTTGGTGTTATCAGCACCACACTGTCCCGAGTGAGCCATGGACCAGCCCTCAGCACGTACAATTTTTGAAATACAAGTCTACCTATGAGAAGAATGGAATTTAGTTTTTGTAAATAACATTTTCCTTAATCGGGGTTCAAAGTTAGTGTTTGCTCTTATCAGATCAATTGTACGTGTTCATCTTTTCCAACCATTCGTAGCTCACAGGCCATACAGAAACAGAGGGTGGGCCAGATTTACTGACCCCTGATATAGAGTTGTGGAAGCCATCTTGGGGAGATGTAAAAAGAGCTGGGCAAAAATCTCAAATGTCAGAGAATAGTAAAAAGGAGGAGGCCATTTGAGACCTTTAAAAGAGCTATTTCAGTAGACAAGTGGATATGGATGTCTTATTGAAAGAATTAGAAGAAAAGACATCTCCACTTGTTTGAGACATCGGCCATTACAAGGAATGCAAGGAGTCTGGTGGTCATTGAAAGGAGCATCCAGATTAAGCAAAAGCTTCTCTCCAATCTTACAGAGAGCTGTGACTACGTATGAGCTTGGGGAGAGAAGTGTAAATAAACCAATGTGGACACAAAGGTGAGGGCAGAGGTGGGCACTCATGCCAGATGAAATCTTTAGCCAAGTGGATGCTAAGACTTTGAAATAACATGGTGAAATGAAAGGTCATTTGAAGAAAACAGACCTGTTGTCAAATCCTGGCTCTTCAGCTGAATTGCTGCGTGGCCCTTAAAAAGAAGCTGAACTTCTCTGAGGCCATTTTGTCATCGGTGAAGCAGTGACAGCAGAAACTTCCCTGCAGAGTTATTGTGAGGCTTAGAGATAATATTGGTGAAGCCCTGAGCACTATGCTTGGCACACAGTAACTCTTCAAGAAATGGTGGCTGCTGCTGCCACTGTTATTTTTGTCATTGTTTCCAACCTTTTTAGGTTGGAAACGATAAGCCATCCTGCCCATAGAACTCCTGCAGCTCTTGGTCTATACTTCACTTTTCGCACTTACTAGAGAATGATGGATTTTGTTCCTCTATTAGACTATTTGGTCTTCTTCCATAAGAGGCCACTTATCCTTTCATTCGCAAACTATTTACTGAGTGCCTGCAACATATGAGACGCTGCCATACAACTGCCTTTACAAACACAACTCCTATTCTTGTGCTATACACATCGTTTTCCTCCTACCCTCCAGAGCAACTTATATGTAGTGGATACTAAATGAGCAAGAAAGACCATTTAGCCCATTTAGCCCATTGATATTCATTGAGTACATATTATGTGCCCAACACTGTTCTAGATAGTGGGGTATAACACAGGACAAAAATAGACAAAAGTCCCTGCCTTCATCAAGTTCACATTCTGTTGGAGGAGAGAGACAATAAAAAACATGTGATATATTCGATGATGGTAAATGTCATAGAGAAAATGGAAACAAAGATTGTGGATAGAAAGGGCTGCTGGGGATAAGGGAGGAATCCATGGTAGAGTCTTGAATAGGGATATTAGGAAGGAGGACGGTAGAGCAAGTCAAGGGGAAATTAAGGGGAAACACATCCCAGGCAGTGGGAGGCAGCAGCTTCTGAACTGGGAGGGAGCATGCCTGGTGAGTTCAAGGAACAGCAATGGTGAGAGAACAGCATGGCTGCGAGGTGAGAGAAGATAGTGGGTTTGACGAGGCTGGTAGCAGCAAAAATGATGGAAAGCATGTGTTCGTGTGTGCATGCTCATGTGCATGTGCCATGGAAGTGTGGAGAAAAGGACAAGATTTATAAATGGACACAAAGGAAGAGAGCAGGAAGGGGGGCTTTAAGCAGTGATGAGGGCCAGGTTGAAGTTGGAGAGCACGCCACAATCAGAATTTCTTTGGCAGGTTAAAATGGTTTCACTTATTAGTGCAATGTAGTGTGCAGGCATGCTCATCAGAATGGCCGGTCCCAGAGCCCAGGGTGAGAAAAGTAACAGCCCGGAATAAACCCGTACACCAGCTCTTCTTGCCTCTGCTACTGGGTATTTAGAAAGAAAGTAAAAAATGGAGGGAAAGAAAGCCCTCAATAACACTTCAATGAGCTAATCTCAAAAGGTCTTTTCAAGATGTATGAGGAAAAGAGAGATGATTTGTTTTCCCTGTGACTTCTGGACATGATTGGAAATCATTGAACCCAGCCTTCCCTCATCTTTCAGTTGAGGAAAGTAAGGCCCAGCAAGGTGAAGGGACATGCTCAAGATTACACAGCAATTTTATGGCAGGGTCAGGGCTAGAATCCAGGTCTCTTGGGATTCCAGTGCTTCGTTCCTGGCACCACACAGTCCCACTTTCAACCTTTGTGGCACCTGACAGCTTTGTCATTTTCCCTAGAGATTATAAATGACAGCATATTCCTTTCATGCTGCAAGTTGACATTTAAGAGTTAATGACCACTACTGGGAAGAAAGATAAGAAAATAGCATTTGCAACCCGCCATAACAAAGAAGTCCAGCATTCACTGCTTTTTTTGTCATTAGCTAACCCTTAACATGGTCATCTCCCTATCCCACTTCGGCCTTGAGAATAAATCATTCTATCAAGAAGTAACAAAATATCTCAGAAATTATAAACATAGCAAGAAAACCTTCACACCCTCTTACACCAGACAAGTACAGAGTAAGTATGAGGATCCACTCTCCCCCTCAGAACAGAACATACCATAAGATATACTCTCTGCGCAGAAATGTCCCAAATCTCTCACGTGGCTGTAGGCACAGCCTGCGTGAGTCTCCAGGAGAGCATTTCAGTTGTAATTTCTCCCAGATCCAGACAGTAGCGCTTCAGCAATTTGGTACACTGTGATTGCTCTTCCTCCAAATCTTATGTGTGTGCTGCCCGTCAGGGTGCACATCCATTCTGTGAGCAGGTGTTGGCTCTGAGGAGCACAGTCACCCTAGAAATCTAGAGTTGACAACAGCAGCAGCTGGTAAGGGGGTAAGGATGGGGGATGAGACAGGGTTCCTTGATGATGTGCTGGGTGTATTCAAAGGAATGAGGAGGAGTTTCCTTCAAATATACAGACTCATGGAGTCCCAAACAGAGCTTTCTCCATTTATTTTACTCCCTCCCTCAAAATGTTCTGTCCTGATAAAGTGGTACATATTTCTGGGCAATTGTTTAACGGTGGGTTGAAGGAGGATAGGGAGGCTGAGGGACACACAGGCCTTACTCCTGTGAACATGAAGCCACCCATGCCTTGGGGGGCTGTCCCTGTGCAAGCCTGCAGCAAGCTGACCTAAGCCCGGACCCTGGAGAAAAAATTACCTCCATACTGTGTGCAGCCAGCAGGTGGCTCCTTGTTGCTGGTGTTAAAGAACTCAATAAAAATCCATATCCAAACATTAGTACTGCCCAAGTAGGAAGTCTGAAGACTTACGTTTATAAACCAGCATGTAGATGAGCAGTCAGCTATCAACAGCCAATCTCTGTAGCATGTCTTAATGAATCCTAAAGAGATATTCAGATTCCTCCATTTTCTAGCTTCCCTAATACTGCTCCTTGGGGGGCTCTTAAGGATTGCACTTTGCTTATTGTGGTAACTGTATTTGGAGCAAATTGTCATTGTGGTTTCCACAAAACACTTTGATGATAGACCAATATTGCACATCAAGTGTTTTCTGACTGCCAATAGCAGTTCTGGCAGCAGGTAGAGAAATTATCATAGTTCTGAGCTATTTCTTTCTCTGAAACATCACAACACTTGTTATATATATTCAAAGTAAGAGCTACATTTATGGGTAGAATTAATGCCAGAGAAAGATTCACCCAGCTCTCTCCAGTATCTTAAAACAAAAGCAGCAGTGTTTGTGGAGCCATCAGCAGTTGTCAAAAGTGGCGAGGACTTTGGTATTTAATGTTAATAAAGGAGAAGAGGGGGCTCATTCTGCAGCCTGTCACTGTAGCCCCATGTGGGTTGATCAGATGAAGCAGGCATGGGGTGGTAGTAAGCCCTCTCTACACTGCAGCCTCAGGAGAAAGCTATTATATGGACAAGAGTTATAGGATGACCTCTGACAAGAGTCAGTAGTATATGGAAACAAGCTCCACTCCACTGGGGCTTCATATATATTCATCATGCTAAAGCTCACTCTGGCAAATGGTATTCCAATGAGATCCCAGTGGTATGAGGGAAGCCTCAAACCCTGCTGTCACTTTTTCCTACCAACCTAACAAGGCCTGTCTCTTTTTATTTCCCAGGAACACTCCATCCCCAGTGTCTCTCAACAACGTCTCCCCCATCAATGCAATGGGGAACTGTAACAACGGCCCAGTCACCATCCCCCAGCGCATTCACCATATGGCCGCTAGCCATGTCAACATCACTAGCAATGTGTTACGGGGCTATGAACACTGGGACATGGCCGACAAACTGACAAGAGAGAACAAAGGTATGCTCAGCTGCTCTACCCATTGCTCACAGTGATGGAGCCGACTGTACTTTGAAAGACTTGAGTTTTACTCAGTGTCTTTATATCTTTCTGTCTCCCTGATTTTCAGGGCTTAGATGACGAAAGAGGGGGTTAGCTCAGGGCTGACACAGTGACCTGTTTTTGCTCAGAGAGATAAAAACGCCTGGGATTTTGTTCTTCTTTAAAGCTTAAAGTAATCTCAACTGTGATGTTTTGGCAAATAACTATTTTGGAATTTTACTCAGTAACAAGGATCAACTGAGAATCAGAGACAAAGGCCAAAAGAATGATTTGTCAATTAATGAAGATCCTGTTGGCTTCTGTTAACTTTATTTTTCTGAGAGGCGAGGCTGAACTAAGACCTTCTGTCTTTACAATAATCATCAGCTCAAGTTGAGTGTATGATAATGTGGTTTACATTTGGAAACAAGGGCCAAAGTTCAGCTAGTAGTTTTCACATACTGACAGCTGGGATAAATGATCAGGGTCCTGTTCATGGTGACACATGAGGTTTACTACAGTACAAATGCAAAGAGGACCCTGCTTCACCAGAGAGTGGGAGAGTGGGTCAGTGGTCTTTAGTGACTTGTGATGTCATCTGTGACTCTAGCTGTCATTTAGTCTCACGGCAAAGCCTCACTATCCTAACGAAGGAGGAAAGCAAAAATAAACCACACTTCTGCCCTAGTCATTCATTTGCCTTAGCTAATTCTTGCCAAGCAGTCACAGAATACCTTATTCCAGTCAAAGTAGGAACAGATGTGTGCCTTTCAGAATCAAATGCAAAGAGGTGACCAGCAGTTTAGAGTAGTACAAATTTCTGTCCCGTAATGAGGAGGCACTTACATGGGTGGGCTTGGGTGCTACTTGGTTCTAAGCAGTTATATGGCTTATTAGAAATCAGGTCGAGGCTGCAGGCCACACATATGTAGATGGAAGTTTTCATGGGCTTGACCAAGAAGGACTTACTGGGCTACCTGGCCCAGTTCTTCACTCAAGCCCCAGTCTTCACAGCCCAAGCAGCTCTCCTTCCCTTTCCATTCAGGCCCCAGGGTTTCAGCCTTTTTCTATTCTCTCTTTAAAGCTACCACTCTAGTCTCTATGGTGGTTCTCCCCAGTGCCTGATTATAGAAAGAGGCACAGTCTTCCCAGCCCCTCCTCCTTGCTACATATTACTACTGTATTGCTGGACATGTGGGGAACCAGTCCCATTGGAATAAGAAGGATGCAGATTTTGCAGCCTGATAATTTAAGTCTGGATATGGCCTAGGTTGTATACTACCTTGGCTACTTTGGCAACTTTGGCAAGTTACTTAAATCTGTGAGCTACTTCTTAGCTTCCATATCTATAATGAATATAATAATGATGATGATGGTACTTTCCAGAAAGATGATAGAGATAGGCTGAATGAAATAATATGTGTAAGGCACCTAGCATAAAATATTGGACACAAAGTAGAAATCTTCCAAATATTTGTTGTCTTTCATTACTTCATATTATTATGTATTTATATAACTCAACGATTCTATGACTATCAGAGTGCATTTCATAATTTGAGACTTCAATCTTCAACCCAGCTATAAACTTATTCTTACTTCTGAGAATATGCACATGCATTGGTTACATCTGTTTGTGCAGCTATTTCCATATGCCAGACACTGCACTACTTGCTTTATCATTTGCTGTCTCATTTTCCCTATTTTGTAGATAAAAAAACTGAGGCTCAGTGAGGTTAAGAAACTCACCCATGATATAACAGCTCTTAATGTCTGAACTCTTAACCAATAGGCTACATTGCCCATCTAGAGAGCAAGATTAATAGCAGGTCCTCAGAGACCTTCAGTGAGACCCTGAACTGTTATCTGAGCAATGGTCAATTCTTAACTTATCCCCTTTTCTAGACTTCTGGAAATCTAGAGACAACTCGCACAGACAACCAGGTCCATTCAAGGATTCTGGAATTGCAAATAAAGACATACGCATCTTGAGATTTGCCTAGCTTGTCTGTTTCTACCCTCTCTATCTTATTTTGTATTGGTAACTGGAGGGCAGTATGATAAGTTATGGATTTCCCTTATAATTGCATCCATTTTCTAAATCTGTTAAAGTAATTATTTCTAAATTAGCTGCAGCAGAACTCTGCCCAATTCAGCACCTAGCACCTGCTCCAGTGGACAGTGAGAGAGGGCTCAGCCAGCCCCTTGTACTGGCTTCCTGGATGTCCTCCTCCCCCCAGTAGCTCAGAACCCTACTCAACTCATTGTCCTGTACCCTCTCCAGTGGACAGCAAGAAAGGCCTGTGCCAGTTCCTTGAGCTGGTTTCCTGTATCCATACCCTCATATCCTGGAGCCCAGATGACTTCCTGATGCCTGCCAGCACCATTGGAGAGCACACTGGGGGTGTACATGCCGCCTAGATCCAAGCCACCTTCCCCGGGAGCCCAGAGTCTGGTCTGACACCATGGCCCACCCACACCAGCAGAGAAAGTGTGGAGAGTGAGCCAGCATTTACAGCTGTACCCTTCCAGAAACAAACCTACATAGCCCAACCTGACTATCAATATAAAACACTTCTACAGTTAAGAGTCTCTCCCCTCAAAAACCACTCCAAAATTAAAAGAAGTGACTATGTATCAGACATCAACAGAGACATAGGAGAGGCATGAAAAAACAGGGAAACGTGACACCTCCCTAAAGAAGACGACAATTCTTTAATATTAGACCCAAAACAACAGGAAACTGGAGTATCTCCTGAAGAGAAATTCCAAATGTCAATATTAAAGAAACACAACATGATGGACAAAAAAATAATCAGAAATCACAATGAAGGGGAAAAAAAAAAGATCCAGAACATGCATGAGAAATTCAAAAAAGAGACAGAAACAATAAAAAAGAACCAAGCAGAAATCAAGGGACTGAAGAATTCATTCAACAAAATAAAAAATACAACCAAGAGCATAAACAGCAGATTGGAGCAAGCAGAAGAAAGAATTTCTGAACTAGAAGACAGGCTTTTTGAATGAACACATTTGGACCAAAAAAAAAAAAAAAGAATTTTAAAAAGTGAAGAAAGCCTACGAGGTCTTTCTGATAACCTTAAGCATACAAACACCTGTATTATTGGTGTACCACAAAGGGAGGAGAAAGGAAAAGGCACTGAAAGATTATTTAATGAAACAATTGCTGAAGGCTTCCAAAGTACTGGGAGAGATATAGTCCTACAGATCTAAGAAGTTCGAAGATCCCCAAAGAGATTCAGTGCAAAAAGACCTCCCCAAGACATACTGTGGTCAAAGTGGCAAAAGTCAAAGACAAAGAATTCTAAAAGTAGCAAGAGAAAAAAAAAGGGTCAAATCACCTTTAAGGGAATTCTCATCAGGCTAATAGCAAACTTTGCGACAGAATCCCTACAGGCCAGGAGAGAGTAGGATGACATATTCAAAGTCTTAAACAAAAAAATAAACAAACAAAACTGCCAACCAAGTGTAGAATATCTAGCAAAGTCTTCCTTCAGAAATGAAGGAAAAATAGTATCTTTCCCAGACAAAACAATCCTGAGGGAATTCGCCACCACAAAACCAGCCCTTCAATAAATACTTAAGGGAGTCGACATCTGGAATCAAAAGAGAGGCATATGTCACCATAAATATACAGGAAAGAGTAAAAATCACTAGTAGAACAGATATGCAAAAGAGAAAGAAAATGTCTCTTAACAATACAGCAAAATACTAAACAGCAAAGACAAACAATGAAAAGGAAAGAAAGGAAGAAAAAAGTATAAAACAACCACAAAAATATTAATAAAATAGCAGGAACAAGACAATACCTTTTAATAACAACACTGAATGGAAATGGATTAAATTCACTACTTAAAATATATAGACATGCTGAATGAATTAAAAAAACTAGATCCAACTACTTGCTACCTGCAAGAAATTCACTTCACCAATAAAGACACACATAGACTAATAGTGAAGGGATGGAAAAAGATATCCCACACAAATGGAAACTAAAAATGAGCAGGAGTTGCCATACTTATATCAGATAAAATAGACTTCAAACCAAGAACTATAAAAAGAGACCAAAAATGTCGTTATATAATGATAAAAGGATCAATTCAGCAAGATGATGTAATAACCATAAAAATATATGCACCCAACATCAGAGCACCCAGATGTATAAAGCAACCATTACTGGATCTAAAGGGAGAGATAGACTCCAACACAATAATAGTTGGGGACTTTAACACACAGCTCTCAGCAAAGAACAGATCATCTGGACAAAATATTAACAGAGAAATATTGGATTTAAATGGCTCTTTAGACCAAATGAACTTGACAGACATTTACAGAACATTTCACAAAACAAATGCAGAATATACATTCTTCTCATCAGCATATGGATCATTCTCCAGGACAGACCACAAGTTAGGCCACAAAGTAAGTCTCAACACACTTAAAAATACTGAAGTCATACCAAATATATGTCCAGACCACAATGGAATAAAATTAGAATTAACAACAAGCAAAACTTTGGAAACTACACAAATACAACATGGAAATTAAACAATATGCTCTTGAATGACCAATGTGTCAAAGAAGAAATAAAGCAGGAAATCAAAAAATTCCTTGCAACAAATGAAAATAAAAGCACAACTTACCAAAACCTATGGGATACTGCAAAAGCAGTACTAAGAGGAAAGTTTATTGCACTAAATGCTTACATCAAAACAATAGAAAGACTTCAAATAAACAACTTTTCACTACACCTCAAAGAACTAGAAAAAAAAGACAAATCCAATTCCAAAATTAGTACAGGGAAAGAAATAGTTAAGATGATCAGAGCAAAACTAAATAAAATAGAGACTAAAAAAATGATACAAAAGATCAAAGAAATGAAAAGTTGGTTTTTTGAGAAGATAAACAAAATAGACCATCCATTAACTAGACTAACTGAAAAAAGAAGAGAGAAGACCCAA